TATATGTGTTATAAAAATATAACTAATTTTTTATACATAATATATATATATATATATATTGAAATATAATTGATATAATTGCACAAAAAATATTGCAACTTAAAAAATCAACGAACTAGTGAATTATACGAGTTTTAAATATTTGAACGATATAATAAAAATATGCAGAATACAAAACTTTAATCAAAATTAACAAAAAATATATCATAATTTTATTCATTGATAGATTAGTTATGATACATTATATTTATAAATATAATTATAATTAAAAATAAAAAATAATTATAAAAAGTATTATATTTATATTATATAAATTATGATTTTTAATATCATTGCATCATTTGATATTGTCAATGTGTTTTTGAGTTTGCTATATTTATTTATTTACATACATTTACATACATTTTATTTTATATATTTATATAAAATAATTACAAAATTGGGATAAACTGATTTTTTTCTTAAAAAAAAAAAGAAAAAGCAATGAAATATTTTTTACAGATAATAAAAACAACATAAAATGAAATAAAACATTTAAATATCTATTTAAAATATAATTATAATAAAATAAGTATATAAATATTTGATTATGTTACAATAAAAAGTTGTAAATACATTATGAACATCTTTTATTTATTCTATAGATATATTATTATAATTATTATAATTAGAGACTAGATATATTATTGTAATTAAATTTTCAATTAAATAGTGTATAAAAAAAATTTATTCAAAAAATAAATATATTGAAAATTATGTTCTGTATATAACAATAAATATTATTTTAATTCTTTTTTATTATTGTTTTTAATGATTAAAGTGTTAGCTTTCTATAATTTTTTTCTTATCATTATTTTTTTTTTTAATATAATTAAATTAGAATTATCCCAATTATGTAATTTATTTTACATATTTATATCAATAATATATATAATAAATTATAAAAATAAAAATATTCAATTATAGCTTCATAATAAAAACTTTAACTATTTACAAAGGTTTTATATTAAATATAAAAAAATAATATATATATTTTATATTATACAAAAAATTAAATATATTATAAAATTTTATAATTTTTATAATTATATTAAAAATTTTATTTTTCTGAAATTGCTTAAATACTAATAATTTATATCATAAAGTAATAGTGAAAATAATTTTTCTAAATAATTTTCTTTCCAATATCTTCTAATTCAGACAGATCAAATTTTTAAAATGCAAAAAATTTAAAATGTAAATTTTTAATCATAAATGTTAAAAATTTTAATTTCATTAATTTTTTATTATTTAAATATAACAAGACATTTTTTTAGTATTTTTTTTATCCTGAAAAATTAAAATTAAATTTTAACAAATATTTTTTTTTGAAATAATTTTTTTGAAAATAACTTTAAAATGACTAAAAAATATCAAAATAAATATTTACTAATTTATTTTATTAAATATTTAAAATACTTATCATTTACTCTCAATCATTTATTCATTCTTTTTATAGTATCTTCTGTATTTCTGATAATTATATGTTCTTAATGATATCAATTAAATATTTTTTTTCTTTTAGTAGTTTAGTAATTTTTTTTTTTTAATTTGTGTGATTCAACATATTTAATACTTTGTATAATCTTATAAAATTATTATTTTTTGAATATATTATTTAAATAAATTAATTTTTTGCAAATTTATTTATATTGTTTGTTCAAATTCACTATTTAGGAATACATTAAAAATTCATTAATATATACAATTCATTATTATAATTTTCGAGATATATTCAATGTGATTTTCAATTCCTACTACAGAATATTTTTGTTTCTTTTTAACATAAATAATAATAGACAAAACAAATTTATATATAAAATATTTTTATGAAACACATCAATCGATTTTAATGAATCATTGCTATAATATTTGTTATCTTTTCAACTTTAAATTTTTTACATTCTAAAAAATTAATCTTTCTGAAACATTTAATTTAAAAAAAATTCAAATTGATTTAAGTTTCAGAAAAAAACACTTATAATATTTTATTGTAAAATGTTATAATCTACATATAACATTTTTGAATTTACAAATAAAAATTAAATATTTCAATTTATTCAATTTAATTGAATTATATTTTATATTCATGCATGAATCTTTTTGTTGAATATTGAAAAAAATTTTATTATATATATTAAGAAATATTACAAATTATAATATTAACAATTATATATCCTTAATGTTTTGTTGCAAATATTATTTATTATATATTTATTATATATAATAAAATATCATATTTTTTATATTAAGACTTATTTGAATATACTATAGATATAAAGAAGATGGTTATAATAAAGGAGAACCAGAATTTATACCTCCATCTCCTGTACGCCTTCAATGGGATTTAACTCCAAATTGCATAGCTGCTATTGAAAAATCAAATCAAGTAATAATCATAAAATTAAAATTAAAAAATTATTTTTCATTATTTGAAATTCTAAACTAATATTTGATAATATAAAAAGAGATATGTAATAATATAATACAAAAAATCAAAATATTTAAAAATATTAAAATTTTTATATATTATGTGAAATATTATTATATTAAAAAATTTTTAATTATTAGGTTGCACAAAATTTATTAAATGATGTTGAATTACGTATTTATGTACATAATGCATATGGTAAAGGCTTTATGAAGATTAATTCAATGTCACCGGATGCATATATACAAATGGCTTTACAATTAGCATATTTTCGTGATGCTGGTAAATTTAATTTAACTTATGAAGCTTCTATGACAAGACTATTTCGAGAAGGAAGAACAGAAACAGTAAGACCATGCACAATTGAATCTACAAATTGGGTAAAAGCAATGGAAAATAAAGATGCAACTGTAAGTAATTTTATTAAATTTATTAACTTATTAATTTAAAACTTATTAAATTTAAAAGAGAGTAATAAACAAGTATTTAAAATAATAAAATTTTATAATTAATTTTTTTTAAATATAATAAAAATATAATAGAAAAATATCTAAGATATTTTGGAAATTTGTTTACTTAATTTTTTTATTTTATTAATTTTATTAAGAAACTTTTTAAAAACTTATCAATATATTATCACTTTTAATATATTTATATATATTTTTAATATATATTTTAAATATATATTATAATATATATATTTTATATATTTTATATATAAATATATATTTTATATATAAAAAGTTTTTATATATTTTAAATATGTTTTTTGTCTCTGAAACTATTGTTAATATTTCAAAAATTATTGATTATATATTAAATTGATATATATATATATAATAAAATGATTAGAATTTGACTAATAAATTATAGTTTATTTTGAAATTAATATATGCTATAAGAAAAATAAAAAATTGTACAATCATATAAAGTCAAATATAATATAAAGAAAATCATAAATCTTATAAATAATATCTAAAATTTTAATGTTATTACATGACAATATTGATACATGATCATATAATTATTATATCAAAAAACAAATTTTAATTGTTTTAAAAAAATTTTAATCTAAAACGTCATATTTTAGATTTATTTTGGAATTTTTTTTTCAAAAAATTGTAAGACTTTTTAATACTAATTTCTTTAATATGAATGAATATTAATACTTTTTAATACTAATCCATTTATTTATATCTTAAAATTATTTATTATTTTTAAATAAAATAATTAAAATTAATCAAAATAACGAATATAAACGAATATAAACGGAATAATAACAAAACATTAAACAGTTAGATTTATGTTTCAATTGTGCAATTATTCCAAATTTATTTTGATTCCTCGATATACATGTACAGATGAATTCTTAAAGTTTTTTATATAAAATTAAAAGAAAAATACATGGTTAATTATAAATAATCAGTCAATTTAAGTTAATTTTTTAATTTAACTTTTTTGATAGTTCTTATTGTAATCTTTTTAATTAATATTTCTTATTACTTTTGGAGATTTATGTATATATATATTCATTTAATTAATAAAATAATTCAAGAAAATATGCAGAATTAATTAAAATTAATAATGACAACAATTACTTTAAGTATATGATTAGGAATAAAAAATTAAATAATGTTTGATGATTTTGATCTTTAATAATTAATTTATTATTTTGTATTTTTTTTTTAAATATTTCTTTAATAATTTAAGATTTTTGTAGATTATTTTCAAAACTATTATTAACATAAGATTTTTTGATTTGATTATGATATTATTTATTTTTTTAATCAGCTATAACTTTATTATAATTATGAATTTTGACAAATTCTATAATTTATTATTGTGTAGCAATATACTCAATTTAATAGCAATATACAAATTAAATTGAAAAGAACAATAATGATTTCATTCTTGTTATTATTCTGAGAATATATTCTTTAATTTTTTTATTTATATATTTCTTTGATTAAGATTTTTTTACTTTATTCATATATAAATTATTTATAATAATTGCATATGTTTAAATATATACTATATGTTTTTCTTTTCTGTATTGAAATTTTTTCATTATTACAAAATTGATAATTTTTATAAAACTGATTTTATATTTTCAAAATATTATGCTAAAAAATAATGTGTAATATAAATGATTTTTTATTCAAAAATGAAAAATAACTTAATTTTTTTTAATACAAAGTAATGATATAAAATCAAATATTCATAATTGTAAAAATATTATATATATAAATATTATATAATTGTAAAATATTATAAAATTATAAAATTAAATAAATATTTATAGTTATATAGGTTATTTTTTATGTTTTTCTAATAAAAGTTCTGTACAAAAATTTTAGTTTTAATTAACTTGTTTTTATTTTGATATTATAATTTATTTTTATTTATTTTTTTATAGATTGAATTTAAATATAAATTATTAATGACAGCAGCAAAGCAACATCAAAAAGGTTATCAAGATGCTATGTGTGGTAAAGGAATAGATAGACATCTATTTTGTTTATATGTAGTATCTAAATATTTAGAAGTGGACTCTCCCTTCTTGAAGGTAATATTCATTAAAAAATTTATATGATATTTTTGAAAAATGTTCTAATTTTTTTTTTAGGAAGTATTAAGTGAACCATGGAAATTATCTACTTCACAAACTCCACATGGTCAAACTTCATTAATTAATTTGAAAAAATATCCAAATTGTATCTCTGCAGGAGGTGGTTTTGGTCCTGTAGCTGATGATGGTTATGGTGTTTCTTATATTATTGCTGGAGAAAATCTTATATTTTTTCATATTTCATGTAAACGTAGTTCTCCACAAACAGTAAGTATATAAAATATTATTAAATAGTTCACACATGATTCAATATTATTCACAATAATATTATCAACTGCTTTGACTTTTTTAAAACTATGTATCATTGTTGAATTTAAATTATAACAATTGTTGCAATATTTTAAAATGAACTTTAATACATTTCTAAAACAATTTTTAAAAATAAAATTGACAAAAAACATCATACAATACTTAGAAATATGAATATAATATTCGATTTCGATATTAATTTCAATGTTATGATCATTGTTAATAAATGTTTATTTAAATTTTTATTAATTTTCATATAACTTCATTTTTTTCAAAAAAAAAATATATCGATCGTATATCATTTATATTAATAAATATGTCTCGAAAAGTATAAAGCAGATTAAAAATAAAATATTATTGTCAGTATTATTGGTTTTTTTATATGATTATTTATATAAATCTTGTTAATATCTAAAATATTATATATAAAAATATAATATAAAAATATTTATATAACTGTGATTATTTTTAGAATGCTGCCAGATTTGCAAAACAAATAGAAAAAGCATTAGCTGATATGAAGATTCTATTTCTTGAAAGAAAGAAACTGCAAGAACAAAAGAATGGTTCTCTATAATTATTTTAGAGCAAAAAAAAAAAAAACTACAATATAGTAATCATAAAAATTTATGATTTTATTTTTTAAATTTTAAAATAATTAAATAAATAAAGATGCATCTATTTTAAATTTATATATAGAAAAAAATAATAAGTAAAATTTATTCAAAAGAATAAGTGATAAAAATTAATTAGAAATGCAAACTATTGTGATTAATTTTCTTATAATATTTACATTTTTGCAAATATTAATCAAATATTTTTTATTCTTTAATAGTATTTATATATATATGTATTAAATTTAAAAACGCACAAAATTTAACTACATCTATTTTTATAATAAATATTTATAAAAAGTATTTTTATATGAAAGAGAATTATCAAGTATGATGATTAAGAAATTCTATTATTAAATATTTAGAGAAATATTTAAAGTATTTTTATTTTTATTTTTACTATTCTCTCAGGTAAATTTGTATAAATAAGATATTTTAAAATTTATTAAAAATTAAATAAAATAAATACGGTCAATAAAAAATCTTAAAAAAATAATAAATAAATACTAATAAACATGATGTAGTTTACAACTTTTTAAGCAGACTGTTAAATGAATAATTTAAATAAAATTTTATTCGTTATGTATGAATATTGAAGTATGAACGCATTAACTATCATAAGTTTTAATCTCTTTTATATTACATCTATAAACATCTTTAATATTTTATATGAGATATACATGACATTTAATTATTAAATTTGTATTAATTTTATTATTGACTTAAACAATATTTGTTATAATATCGATAAAATAATTGATAGTAAAATCATTGAAAAAAGTGAATGTATTGCATGCCATTAATCTTTATTAATATTAAAATATTGAAATAATTAAGTTACAATTTGTAATATTATGTAATTTTGAAGGCAATTTTGTATAAATTTGAGCAGACTTAATCAGTAATTAATAATTAGTTTTCAAGAAGAAATATTGTAATTTATTAATAATAAGTTTTATATTAATAATGTAATCATATTAGTGATTAGTTTAAAATGTATTAAATAATATGCCATTATTATTATTTGCAACCTATCAATGCAAAATTTTAATGTTATAAGTAGTTTTATACATATATAATATTATTCATTTTATTATGTTGTGTTAAAATTATATCATAGAAGGTACTGGTGCTTTTATATAATTTTATTACTGAAATTTACAATTTTAAGATATAAGATTATATTATTTTACTTAATGTAAATGAAAGAGACAAATATATGATAATAAAATATATCTCTTTAAATTTGTAAAAATATGATATACCTTAAACTTGTCATCATTTTTTTATTTAATGTGATGTAATCTTTTATTGACATATATATGACATATATATTATGACATATATATGATATATATATTATGCATATATATTGTATATTAACATAGTATATTAACATAGTATAGTATATTAACAATGAAAAAATTGTATATTAAATTGTATATTAACAAAAAAATTACATACATTTGTATAAATAATCTAGATACAATTCAAAATAACAAACAAAAATTTATATAATTAAATACAAAATAATATACATATTTAATGTAATATAATATATAATGTATTAAATTATGTAATAATTTATATAATATATTAATGTATTAAACACTACAATTTAATGACTTTTATATTTAATATTATTTAAAATATCTAACATTTAAATAATAAGTGATTAAATTATATAAGATTAGTCTACTAAAAGACATTAGATCATTATACCTGATAATTTAATCAATTATTTTTTAATTGCAATAATATAAAATTTAATTAATTCATTAAAAAAATATTTTCAGATAATTATTTTGAAGAAAGTAGATAATTTTGAAATCAGTAATATATTTAACTAATTTTTTTTATTACATCACATTAAATTAATATTAATTTTTAACATTTTTACAATTGTTCTATTTAATTAACTATATATTAACTATTTATTAATTTTATGTAGTGTGTATTAAAAAATAAAAAATAATCAATTTAAATAAAAGTAAATGTTTAATTTAATTTTTTGAATGTTTTATGTTTCAAATGTTTTATAAGAAATACATAAAATATTTATAATTTTGATTGATGATTGTCTATTTTATTATATTTATAAGATTTATTAATATTCATATGTCATCTTATATCTTCAAGCAATGTCATATTATGTATTATATATTATATTATGTTATTTTTAATAAATTTAAAGAATTAGTTAAATTTTATTTTTATAGAAAGTTATATATGTAACTTATTATATAAGAATAAAATTTTATTCTACTTATATAATTAAAATACATATTTATTAATAGAAATATATATTCATATTTATAACATTTTTATATTTTGTTAATTATTTTATTATTTTATTACCAGTCATTCTACACTTATAATATTATTAAAATGTTTTCTATATCATCAAAGGTTAGATTTTTCAAATGATTATTAATATTATTAACTTTTCAAATATTGTTTTGGTAATACTTATACAATAAAAAATATCTAAATATGATTTATATTGAAAAGTTATCAAATACTTATATTTATATTTATTATATTTTTTATGCAATTCATATAAATTATAAATTAGTTAAATAATTTTTCTTTAAAGTATATTTTAGATTATTTTAATTTAAAATTATTTAAATTTTTGTATTGTACTTTTTCATGTACATTTTTATAAGTTTTGAAAAAATAAATGTAAAAATAAGTTTTAATTGTTGAATTTAATTATTTATACATAAAATTTTTTGGAAATAACAATATCATATTGAATTTTTATTAAATCCATTTAGAGAATAGAAACATTAGCATCTTGTATTATAATTAAGTAACTAAATTCAAATTTAGTTAGTTAAAAAAAGTTAAAAAATTCCATATGACAATATCATATTGTTTGTTCAATATAAAGTATCAAATATTTTTCATAAAATTTTCTTAACTTTATTAAAAATTAGAAAAGAATAATATATAAATATATGCTCATAAATGTTTTTAAAAGTTAATAAAATAATAAAAATATAGCACATAAAAATAAATAGTATTAATTTTTAATTAAATAATATTATTAATTTACTTTATTAAAATAATTTCAGCAAGTAAACATTTTGTTTATGTAAATATATCAAATAAATATTGACAATCTAGTATATTCTTAAAATAAAACAAAAAACCAATTTATCATTTTTGTTAATTTTTAATAAGTTTTTAATAATTTTTTTGTTTTTAATAAAATATTTATAAATCTATTTTCATAATGTTTTTTTTAAATTCTTATTCATACAATATGTTGATAAAATTTTTCAAAAAAAACTTAAACTCTCTATATTATCATAAATACTACATATAACTTATAAAATTGACATTATAATAATCTTTTTCCTTGTATTCAGTCGATTTACGAATATTAAGCTTGAGGATTAAATTTTAATTTTCAACATTTTAAATTGAACTTATATTATAAATATTTAATTTTTTACCCAAAAAGCCATTTGAATATAATGCGCATTGATGCTTCTAATTGAATAAAATAAAAATCCAAAATGGTTATATAACAAGAAAAAATCCCTAAAATTATGTAAATTTTTACAAATAATTTTTGAACTATTGGATTCCGATAATTAAAACCATTATTTTTTAATTTTTGCATATATAATGAAAACAATTCCAAAAATTTGATTCCCTAAAACTAAAGTTTAATTAAAAAATAAAATTAAATATAATAATAAAAGAATTTAACAGTAAAATATTTAAATTTCTAAATTTTAAATATAAAATACCAGATTATATTATATATTTTGAGAAATATAGTTGCACATCTAGGTGAATTATCAAACTCATGGTTATAGTTTAGCTTGCTTACGCGCCTCAAATTCGTGACACGAGCGTGACGAACGCGGAGTGAGTGCGTACTGAAAATAAACAGAGAGTAGTGGTGTGGTGACAAGAGCGCGGGTCGAACGATGGCTTCGCCGAACAAGAAAGCCAAGGAATTAGAGGATCCAGGTTCGGGGGAGGGTGTTGAATCACGCGATTACGATATTGAAATACAAAAGACACTCGAAGAGATTGACGGGTGTCAGAATCAAATCGATGGCCTCAATGAGAAAGCCAGCGATGAAATCCTCGAAGTCGAGAAGAAGTATAATAAGTTGCGTAAGCCCTATTCCAGAAACGGAATGACATTATTAAGAGGATACCCAATTTTTGGGTTACTGCTGTATCCTTTTGTATGATGACAATACGTTTTCGCTAATAATAGTTACTGATATATCTTTGACGTTTCTCGACAATGCCGGCGTCCACCGGTGCTAGTCGCCATCTTGCCTACTTGTATACGTATATAAGTATGTATAACTACATGCGGTCACGCGGAATGTAATATAAATTTATTTTTATAAAAAATATTTAATATGATTATTATGCTATAATATTGTTCATTATATGTATTTGATTTTTTTTTCTTATATATTTTTGTTATGTATTACAATCTATAGTTCAAATTATTCTACTAATGTAAATATTTTTCCTTTATTGTATCATTTCTTTTTATACTTGCAATTTCAATCTATTATATTTATTTATTATATATATTTTTACAAACTTGTTTATAAATGTTTTTATTCTTTACAAATTTATAAGTGATTACGTGTATTTAATATTTCATATTATTTGAAAATTCTAAAACAAAATTTAATATTTTTATTATTGAAAAGTAAATTACTAATAAATCATTAATATTAACAATAATAAATATATATATATATATATGCATATATATATATAAATATTGTATATTATATATAAAAATTATAATATAATAAATTTTAATATTATAAAAATATAAAGAAAATAATTGAATATATCTTTGTTTTATGATAATATTAATAAGATTATCATTTATTTCAACATGTATACAATCATTCAGTATCATATTCAATATAATTTTTTTCAAGTATTATAAATTATATAAATTCCTTAATAGATACATAGTTTGTAAACAAT